CCAAGTGCTTGGATGCTCCTAAAGCGGGGGCAGTTGACCTCTTTTGGCACAAAGGTCACATTCACCCGTGGCCAACTTTCTGAGGGCTGCATGACAGCAGTGGGTGTGGCCAAACAGAGGTACGGCTATTCCACACTCTTGCATGCGAACACAGGGACACAGCGCCCTTCCTCAACTGATCCTCCGCTCAACAAATGATGGATCTGATGGCCAAGGAGGGAGCAATCTCCATCCACATCAAGGCCCTCTCCACTCATTGTATCTACTTCAGGGTGTGGTTTGTTTTGCCACTGTTGGTGGGGTTTGAGGAGGTCCAGAAAATTATACATGGGAAAGTGTCAGAGCATGCTTCCTAGCTGGGAGTTCGTTTAAAGTCACTCTTGATCCAAAGTCTAGCATTGGTCCACTAAAATTATGTTTGCCTATTCTATAGCATTCATCTCAGAGCACTCTGACTTAATTACTTCTTCTTATGATAGTGGCAATATCTTTCAAATAAATAAATAACAATATATAATGCCAACTCTGCTTTATAAATGTATCTGCAAATGTGGCATGAAGGCTGGCAACATCTTCCACTGTCTCTCGAGACAGACGGATGCCAACAATACCAAGCTAGTGGAAGAATGAGAAAGAAATGAAAAAATAAAGGAACCTGGAAATTAAAAGTGTGGAAGTACACTTGGATCAGGTCAATGCCAGTAAACTCTGTCAGTAATATCCTGTGAATTCTGCCTATACTTGCTTCCATACAGGATCTAAAAGCCAAGCTGTAAGCATGACAAGTTTGTATGATTTAATAAGATATGGCAGGGAGTAGTGTCAAAAATCTGAACGTGAGTAGAAGAGACAGTCCATTTGCACTCATGCACTCAGTCCATTTGCACTCATGAGTTACATCCTAGTTTGGAAAACCAGCCGTTTCCAGCACTGACCTAACTATAGACTTTTGAAGTGTTAGGACGCTAACAATTCAGCCCCTTTCAGAGGCGTACCCCTGGCTGGCAATTTCCATTGCTTTTATTCTTTTAAGAATGTTTGCTCTTTTAAAAGCCACTACAACACAATATAATTTCTAATAATGCAAATTCTCGCTTCCTACCACCACACACCAGCCATTTCTTTGCCTAAAACAATTGACATTTCTGAATAGTTCAACGCCAGCACCCGCCCCCCAAAAGCTGCATCTCACTCATAGCTGTCGTTGCAGACAAAAGAGGTATGGCAATCATGTTTCTGGTCCCCCACCTCCGCTGCTCAGCCAGACACAGGATTTAGCAAACTAACCCACTGATGACTCACAAACTGGTGACTTGCTCTAAATTCTCTATGATTCATGCCCAGCTTTTTTCAGTTGCATCTATATATACAATATTGCTTGTAAAACATATATATGTGCATATAAGTTATTCAAGGTAAGCAACTCTACATCACTATCCAATGAATGAAGGCCATTATCAAGTCTGCCACAAGAACAAGAAAATTAGAACAGGTCTACAGAGTGTTCTCTCGAGTGTTGGAATTGGAATCAGCCTGATCCCCTCCCCCTCTTTCCTTTTCCTTCCTTTTCCTTCTGTGATGGAACCCCTATTTGGGGACATCCCTGGCTTTTTTCTGGCCCACGTAGGACCAGTCTGGATAGTTGGCCTTGGTGAAGCTTTGACGTTTTCTCCCCACAAACAGTTTTTGATCTGGGCTTCCACTGAAATGAGGTTGCATTTTAAGTTGTATTTTAATCCTGTTTTTAAGTTGTATTTTAATCAATTGTTTTTATACCTGATGTTAGCTGCCCTGAGCCTGGTCTTGGCCAGGGAGTGTGGGGTATAAATAAAATTTATTATTCTTATTACCTCCAGAGAGGATGGTGAATGGAGTTCTTTGTGATACCATCTTCACATGAATGGTGTGAGTGGTGTTTTCCACTGCCAGCAATCTGACAATCACCTTCTTTATTTTTCACATGTATGGAGGCCTTTCCTTAAAAGAGCTCAAGGCAATGTACGTGGTACAGCCCTGTGAAGCAGGTCAAGTTGGTGGCTATCCAAAGATCCTATGAAGTCCTGGGGACATCTATTCAAGCAGATGTTGTCTCCTTCTCTTTAGTGCTTATGCATGCTAATTAGCTCTAGCTATTTTTCTGTATTTTGCATATGTTGAAGATGACTGATTTTCGATTCTATCTTTAATAGGACATCTGTTACTTTACCAGAATGTTCATGTAGGGGCGGATTTAGGCAATATGGCGCCCTGTGCAAGGACAAAATTTGGCGGCCCTCCTCCCCCAGCGATGGCGGAGCAAGAGTAGGTTCACTACTTTAAGTCTGAGAAAGAGTAAGCTTGGCTGAGGAAGACAGAGCCAAGCTGTCTCGCTCCCGTTTCTTCTCCTCTCTTCTCCTACCCTTTCCTTTTCCCCAGCCTGATTTTCTCTCCCAGGCATATAATAATAATCTCAAAGACATTCAGAGGGATCTTTCTGAATTCCCTTCTCCACTACCTTACCGGTCTGGGTGGAGGCTAGATGCCCTGATGCCTCACAAGCTGAGGCAGGAGCTGCTCTGATCAGCCCAGAAGTAATTGTACGAGGCAGAGGAGGTCTCACCGTCTATCCCTCATACTGTGCTATCTGCTGTTTGAAGGTCTCAGTTGCATTGCCCTGGATCCACCTCTGCATGATCAAAATGTGGGTCTTTTTTTTTGCTGTTTCCCTTGTATCTTTTCCTATCCTAAAGGCTCCTAGGTTGGGGTTTTGTTTCTTCATTACACTCTGCCTTATAGCGTTCTAAATTATGCCATCCATCCTTGGAGTCAACCTTTCTGCTCCTATAATGTCATTAAGTGGTGTTTGAGTTCCTGCCGAACAAAGCTCTGCGTATATTACCTTCCTGAAATTTCTACTTCATCCATCTTTTCCTCTGGCTTCCTACTGACATCAGCTTCATCTTGAATTGGGAAGGCTGCACTTTAGTTTTACAAATGATGCCTCTTCATCTTGCGTGAAAACATGACGTTGCCTCTTCAAGCTGATCTGACAGTGCTTGTTTACCACATTGCCATGAAAGTATTGAAATTGGTTCCTGAGGTAGGCATGTCATGCATGACCCGATCCAAGATAAAGGGAATTTAGTCAAATACTGATGGGGAAGTATGGAGGCCAATATACTGGGGGGACGGGGGACGGGACCCAGCATGCCCTACTTATGTACCTTTACATTGCCTTATACACCATTGGTCTATATAGCTCAGCTTTTACCTGAAATACGATTCAGTGACCCTCAAGAATTTCAAACACGAATCTTTCCAATCCTTACTTAGAGATGTCAAGGACTGATCCCAGGGTCTTTTGCAAGCCAATATGTAACAGTCTGTCCCAACAAAATGCAGACATCAATATACTGTAGATAAAATTTACCTGCTAATATCAGATTATGGCATTGTTCAGGGCACAAAAGCTGACAGCCCTAATGTGAAGAATTAGAGAGAAGCAACATATTTGCTGATGAGTTTGACTGCAGTGGGATCACTAATAGCTTTACCCCTATCAGACATATTACTCAACGGGGGAGTTGGGGGTTGGCAATGGCTACTGAATCATGTGTAATTTCTGGGAAATCATGTTCTTCCAGATAGTTTAATAGAAACTCAACTGAAGTGTGTTAGGAGCAGGGGAAGCAAATGTGTGCTTGGATCATAATAGAGGATTGTACACCCCAGGAGGTGGCAGAAATGGGGTCACAACCTTCAGGATTCTAGAGTTAGAAGTCAGTGAAGGTCTGATAAATAGTGAAGTTCTTGGAGGATGGCTGCTGGAGTAAAATATAAAATGGTTTCAGTAAGGACTTTGGGGTGCTGTGGATGGACAGACCAACATCAGAAGGTGCTTTGAGGACAGTTGAGGTAGAGATGGAAGGGCAAAACTAAAGGATGGGGAGATGGGGCTCAGGATATGATGCTGAAACATACTGGTCTTTGCTGTCGGTTTTGGCCATATTGTTGCTTTGGTTTATGGCTTTTAGAGTCAAGATCTCTGGTCACTCCTACATGGGCACAAAAGCCGGGAGTGAGCAATTTGGATGTCCCTTAAATGCAAGGGTTAGGAAAACAGAACCAGGGGACTTGCGCAAGCTCTGTTGCACATTTACAAAACAGAATATAAAGATTTACTCTTTGATTATTATAGAATCATAGAAGATTACTCCAAATTATACTCACAGTGTTTGGATGGCATAATGAAGGAAGTGGCACCATTTGTATTCAAATTGTCTATTTATTTTACAGTGGTTTTCCATTAGAAAAATATTCATATCTTTGACATATATGCCAGTAAATACTTTCATTACCAACCCACCCCCCCTTTCTGCTTCTGCTCTGGTATTTAACCAACCATAAAAACAAATAAATCTCTTTTAAGCTCCAATACCACACATCCACTAATACACTGTATTAAATACGCAGTTACAAAAGATGGAGAAAATTACAAAGTTCCATTAGTGTGTACAAATTACTGCCATATATAATGTATGATTTTTTAAATGGCTTATTTGCATAGCCACATACTTCTTCTGTGGTTCTCTGTGATAACATTCCCTTGAAAGAAAAATAATGATAATGAACATGTTATCCACATATTTGATTAGCAACTGGGGGAAAGTCTCACCACAACGGTGCCACATCAAAGATTATGTGTGGCTTGGCTGTGATGGGCTATTGCTGGTGCAACAGGTATATTGTGCAACCTCAGGCTAGACCACCTGACATTATGGTGGTCTGATTTCTGTGTGGAATGGCCCATGGTTGATGTGTTTATTTGTGTAAACATTCCCTGTGTGCACTTAGCATATGCACCAGCCTGTAGATATAACACAAGTGTGTCAGCAATCAGAAGCCTTAATGGGAATGCTGCTGAAATTCAAATGCAGCATTTAGATAGAACAGCACACTTGGAAATGCAATTAAACATGATGAGGTGCACATAGAATGCTTACGTGGGGTTGTATTCAGTGCTAGCCCTACTCAGAGTAGACCCATTAACATTAACAGAAATGTTAGGTGCATTAATGTCAATGGGTCTGCTCTGAGTAGGACCATCACTCCCATGCAGCCCATGGTTAATAGCACAATCCTATGCATGTATATTATTTATTTGATTTAAATGGATTTACCCACATTTACCCACATTTTAGGGTGAAAGGAAAAGGAACAGCTTACAAAAGTTTAATACAACAAGAACAAACAATAATTTAATTACAATTTTACAATGCATTTTTTAAAAATCAAAAAACGAGATAAAAATAGCAGCAACTAAAAACCAGCATCTGTAACACATTAATTAAATGCTTATCAAATCAGAAATGGCTTTTTAAGTTCCACATAAAGGCAACTTTAGAGTCAGAATTCAAGAAATGCCTTGCTATAAGTAGTACTTGCTTCCTGTTTTACAGTTTAAGGAGTCTTTCAAATGCAATTCAAGCTGATACCTACATTTCAGTTTCCTTAAGGCTTAAGAAGCAAATGGAGAAAACAGAGTGATAATCCTAGTTCTCTCTAATAACTCCCTCTCTACTCCTAGACCATTTGCATATAGTACAATTGGGTATTGGATTACAGCACGAGTGGTTATATCTGTGGCCTTCATGTATAAAATGGACCTGTGTTTCAAGGCATTGCCCAGGATGCTGTTGATAAATTGCAAGTACTTTGTGACTAGAGAGCATGCATAGCCACTGAAAGATGATGGTCTCATAAATTTTGTGGCATCCCTAATCACTTAAATATGCCAGGCTCACTCTCTTCATATCTATTTCTTATAGCATATAAAGTTGATGTAGTGCTGACTTGTAGAGGCTAAAATAATGGAGGACAACAGACTGTGATATACATTAAGATAAGGGAGACCTGATCAATTACTTCTTAAAGAAAGGTGCATAGCTGAACTGGCACTGGCCAGGGTCATGTGGTTAAGATTCACATCCTCATTTCCTTAAGAAGGATAACATAGATGGAAATATCCAATCCACGCTCAAATGCCGGGATACGTATAAGTTTTTGAAATGGATTAACAAGTTCTTATAGTTAAGACGTGATTGGCAAACTCCTCTGTGTTGATGTGACCATCCCCCTCTGTCCAGTGTGCCAGGAAGTATAGAATCTACACAGCACCCCTGTGTCAGCATTTGCTGGAGCAATACTATGGTGATTCAGCACATCATCTGCTAAATACTTGGGCAGCTAAATACTTGGGACTCTTATTGAGCATCAGTAAGAGTCAGTACTAAGGCACCTGCGTGTCACTTTAAGCAAGTGAGCCCCCTATGAAGTGATACCACAAGTTTCTACACCTCACTCTGCCAAGTTGGTCTGTATACATAGTACAAAATATGCTCAAACTGACTTCAGGAACTAATGGCACTAGCTCCCTAGCTTGAGTTTCCTTAGCCCACAGGTCTTAAGTAATTCCAGGGAAGGTGGGAAGGTGGGGCAGCCACAGTAGTTATCTCATGCCATTGGTGGTTCTTAGCTGCCAGAGCCAATTTGGCTACCAGGTATGTAATCTGTAGATCTTTATCAGCCAGGAGCTTGACTGTCACCTCCTGGGTTGATTGGCCAGAGAGACAGTCAAGAACAGGTGATAAAAATTTTATCTGGGCATTGAACGTAAGGGGCAAAGCAGCAGATAAGCTTATAGCTATGTGCAGTTGATTATATGCTTCCTGGCCTGGGCTTCCTGCTTTTGCCTTACTTCAAAACATACAGACCTTACGTAACCCCAGGGACATTTACATTTACGTTGTATTTGCCATATCACATGGCCTATGGAACTGCGCAAGACTCACCAAAGCTGCTGCAGCTGATTGGAGTAATTGCAGTAGCTCCTGCCCAAAAGTCACACTGCCATGAACCCTCTTCCTCCCAACGCAGCATGGCTGGGATGCAGAGCTCCAGGATACAAACAGGGAGCAATGTCCAGGGACTTGGCATATATGACGGGTGAATTAATAAAAGGGGATTGAAGAACGCATTCATAAAATGTTAAAATGGCTTATGGAACCAAGTTTTAAGATTAGAGTTAATGGGTGTAAAATGGTGTCAAACTTCTGAGTTCTTGAATAATGCATTTCTCCAGTATATACTGTGTGAAAGAAAGTGGATTATATAAAAAACAAACCTGAGTTGTGTTGAGAATTAGTGGTAAAGCATGTTCTAGATTTTGCAGTATCTAGGAACAGTTATGAAAAACTCTCAACATTGCCTGTGAGAATCAAGAAGATATTAACTTCCTTAGATTAAAATACAAAATATTTCAGCAACATAGTTCTGTCTTCTGCCTTTCTCCCACTATTAATTTTTTGGTTTACTTTCTGTATCCCCTGCCTAAGTAAGCTACTTTTTGTTTTAATATTGTCTTTAATCAAGCCTAAAGTCCTGCCTCTTTCTGAATACCAAATACTCAAAAGTTCTCACAGTAAGGGAGATAATTCTATCTCCTTCAATATGGAAGCAGCATTCCATTTCTACTATAAAACTAGCCATTCAGACAGTGTAGAACCAGTCACCCAAACACTTCAGTTCTTACTTTTAAACTTGTGTTTTGTGCCAGCACTCTTCATTTTTTACACCAGATCTGTTGAGCCAATTTTGCTAGGTAGGATAATGAGCCAGCTAACTATATAATTGAATCAGTAGAATACTGTATATACTTGTGTATAAGCCGACTTTTTTAGCACATTTTTTTATGCTGAAAAAGCCCCTCTCGGCTTATACTCGAGTGAGGGTCCCACCTGAGCGCATTTCCGACAGCAGCAAAAGCGGCGGAGGAGGAACGAGCAGCCCGAAAGCAGCCATTTTGGGCTGCTTGTTCTTCCTCCGCCGCTGCTGCCACCAGCCTCTGCCTCTCGGCAGCACCCTAGTTAGGCAGGGGGATGGGAGGGGCTGGGGGGAGAGGTTTGTGGTGTGGTGAACCAGCTTATACTCGAGTCAATAAGTTTTCCCAGTTTTTTGTGGTAAAAGTAGGTGCCTCAGCTTATATTTGGGTCAGCTTATACTTGAGTATAGAGTGGTACCTCAGGTTACATATGCTTCATGTTACATATGCTTCAGGTTACAGACTCCACTAACCCAGAAATAGTACCTCGGGTTAAGAACTTTACTTCAGGATGAAAACAGAAATCATGCTCCGGCGGCGCGGCGGCAGCAGGAGGTCCCATTAGCTAAAGTGGTGCTTCAGGTTAAGAACAGTTTCAGGTTAAGAACAGACCTCCAGAACGAATTAAGTACTTAACCCAAGGTACCACTGTATGCAGTACTTTCTCATTTAGGATACCATTTACTAACAGGTGAGGGCTGAGAGAGATAATACCAATCTATTATAGAGACCTTGGTTTATTACTTCCATGCTTGCATCACTTCTGTAAGAATAAAGAGGCGAAACTTCAGCCAGTGGTTCAGAATGTTTGATAAGATTTTTACAGCCTTCATTAATTTCAGTTACATGGCTTGAGAGTAGATCAAAAGTTTCCAGCTTGCTTTGCTAATTGGGAATTAAAGTTGTCTGCACAGTAAGGCCAGAGAACATAGCTTCATGCTCTATTCTGTACAAAGCAATAATTCAGAAGATTCAGTTGAGCAAGAGTCAATGATGAGAGTTCTGCACAGTAAGATGAATAGTTCACACACTGGTCACTCTGATCTCATCTTTTCTACTTCCCTTTCTTTTACAGAATTAATAAAACAAATGACTTGGAGGGGGAAACCTAGCTCAAAGAGGAACATTGCAGTCCACCTACATTTGAATTAATAGTGGGGGTGGGCATATTGGCTCTATTGTAGTTAGTATTCTGGGCAGAAGTACAGCTTGAAATTCCTAAGGACATCTTAAATGAAAAACTTGCTTTTAATTATGCATTAGCAGTAATGGTCCAGAACCTTAAGCAGGCATAGGCAAACTCGGCCCTCAAATGTTTTGGGACTACAACTCCCATCACCCCTGACCACTGGTCCTGTTAGCTAGGAATGATGGGAGTTGTGGTCCCAAAACATCTGGAGGGCCGAGTTTGCCTATGCCTGACCTTAAGCTACCAGCAGTTCCAGGGGCCCATTTTCTTTCTGATCTACTACACGCAGCAAACACCTAACTGCCTTAAGGAGTACCATGGACAGCTCCACTAGAATCTCCACTAGCAGCTCTATTCTGCTTGCTATGGTATGAATGCCGTTTTAGCTGTTACACAAGCTCCTGTGTGACAGTATGAACGATTGTTAACTATTGTTAAAGCAGGAACAGGTTGGTGCTTTGCACCTGATGGCAAATAACACGGTGCTAACAGAAATGGGAATGAAGGAGTGGAATGCGTTTGTGAAATTTCATCAAACTTGGCTCCTCAAAATAGAGCACACAAAATTTCAATATTGCTATAAAATATGTGTTAGAAGGAAGCCATGTGAGGGAGGTGCATCTGTAACCAGGCCAACACACTAGCAATAAAAAGAGAAATCTTCAGCTCTGAAAGTACATTCCTTGAAGGATGAGTTCTAAAGCTAAGGTTCCTCAGATGGGCTCTAACACAAGCATCCATGCCCTGGGGATCAAATTCTAAAAATAGGAACCTGCCCAGATACACTACATATTTCCTTTGAAAAAGCACATTTCCCCCAGCTTCATTTCGTTTTCCAAACATCAGAAGGCCACATGCATCCCAATCCTAAGTGAGTGATCTATATGCTATCTTGCACTGGTCAGGCAGCTCTATAAATCTGAGCTGGACTTGACTCACAAGTACTCTGCTGAATTTGATGCAGAGTCAGACACACACAAAAAATCTTTTGTCTAGAAAGTTATACTTGCTTTTCTTTCTTTGGTTTACACCATGGGATCCATATCCTTTTTAAAACAGCTTACTTTGCACTACAATTTTGCCAAATAAACAATGAGCCATTCCCATTAGATTCATAGTTCCAAAAGATTAACAGCGTTGCTTGCAGATCTTATTCATTTAATCATGTCATTTTGCGAAGGAAGCAATTGCTTTTCTCTTTTCTTTTTTTCTTTGCATTTTCAGAAACAGGAACAGAAAGAATATTTAAACCCCCCT